ACTTTGAATCGCAGCGAATTAATTACCGTCCGGAAATACAGCAAGATAAACATAAAAGTTCCTAACACACCGGGAGGGTGGGGGTCGCTGCGATACAACTTGTAACATTGAACAAATCACAAAATGTCTCCAGATAAACGTTTATATTCAATATCCTTAATGCCATTTGCATTCTTGACTTCGGCTTCAGACTTTAATCCACTGGAACAAGTAGGGCAAGGCGCTGAACTGCCCTTGAAACCACAGTGTCTCTTGCACCCCGGTACTCGTGAACTTTTTCCCCAGTGCGATAGCTCTTGTACTTGACTGTCACCTTGCGCACTTTGCCATCTTCCCCTGGAAAAACATCTTGCACAAGCGCCAAGCGATAATCTCCCCTAAGAGTGTTCTTGTCAGCGACAATCACCACATCTCCTGGACACAAGTTGCGAGTGGCAGTGTGCCATTTGCGCTGTACTACTAATGCTGGAGCATACAGCTCAGTCCAACGTTTCCAGAAGTCCTCCACCACAGACTGAACAAGATGGTAACGTGTTACAATGCTTGCGTCGTAAGGTTGCCATCCTAAGGGGTTAGATGCAGTCGCCCGTCCAAGCAACAAACTGTTGGGTGTGAGAACATTGATGGTTGAATCCACGCTTGGTTTCACTCCAATCGGACGCTCATTTAGTAAGTTGGACACTTCACAACAGACAGTGAGAAATTCAGGTACAGACAGACGTTGGTCACTCACTGAGAAATGAATAGCACGTTTGGCGGCCTTTATCAGAGACTCCACTGCTCCTTGATGCCAGGGACTATCGGCAGGTCCAAATACCCAGGTTGAACCATTCTGAGCAGAATCTCTCTGTAAGGACTCCCTGTCGATTCTTTGCCAGGCTTCTTTGAGTTCCCTCTCTGCGCCCACAAGCTGAGAACCTGGATCGCTGTAAATCTTCTCTGGCCATCCACGAAGACTGGCAAATCTGCTAAGCGCCATCAGGAAATTGCTGGTGTCGTATCCAAACACTGCCTCGATATGAACAGCTCTCATTGCGAGATCGGTGAACAATACACCATATGCTTTGCCACTTGTGCGTTTCTGGACTTCCCCTCTAACTGTGTACGGTCCAAACAGGTCAAGCATCACGTGGTTGAATGCTGGTGCGGGTTCCAGTCTAGCTTCTGGCAGTAACCCCATCGGTTGCTCAAGAAATTTGGCATCGCGCAACTTGCACAGTTGACAGTCCATTTTCACTAGCCTTGCCAGTTTACTGCCTTGAGGCGTCCAGTAACGCATTCGAAATCGAGCAAGGGTTGCGTCACGTCCCCTATGTCCTCCTGCTTGATGCGCACGTTCCATGAAAAGACATGTAGCTGGATGCTTAGAGGGTAACAATCTCTGAAGGGATGAGTCTGGTGTCATCGCATTGTACCTTAGTAGTCGTTCTCCTACGACCCATATTCCACTTGCATCTTGTACAGGCTTCAGCTTAGCATAGCGACCTCCATGACCTTTCTTGCTGCTGCTCTTCTTTAGCTCGCATTCCATTGTTTTCTGAATGTTCTTCACGACAAAGTCCTCTGCGTCTTTCAAGTGCTGTGCGGTTACTTGCATGGCATTTCCTGCACGGAAAGTCTTGTTCCTTGCAATGTTTTTCAACCTTGCCACGACCCAAATGACTCGATTGATGTTTCTAAATCTCTCATAGACAATCAAAGGAGGATCTGCCCTGGCTACCGCCGTACTACACATCTTCTTCTCTCCAGGGAGCACTTCTTCCTTCTGCAGACCAGACTTGAGTCCCCACTCTTCAACAGGCTTGTACAGGATAGGTGGGCCATTCCACCAGTGGGAGTCTTGATCGAGCTCCTCAGGGGTGCGTCCACGGGTCAACCAATCTGCGGGGTTGTGATAACCTGACATCCAGGCCCAACGGGACATATCACCATTCGTTGCGGCTTGAATTTCTCCAATTCTAACTCCTTCATACACCTTGAAGCGAGTACTGGTCTTGTTGATCATACTCAAAACAGTTTCAGAGTCCACAATTTGCCACACCTCTTCAAATTCGAGCCTCATCTCCTTTTCTATGACCTTTCTACCTCGCTTGGACAATACAGCAGCATTTAACTCCATCTGAGGAGTAGACAACTTATTCACTGGGGCGATACGACACTTTGCCATGATAAGTCGACACCAATAGTCCCCGCTGTTTAGGCGCCATCTGATGTAGGCTGCAAAACCATAGGCGAGGTCACTACCATCACTGAAGATGATAAGCCATGGTCGGCCAACAGAGTCGGGTGGTCGTAAACAACGATTCAAACTAAGCTGCTCGAGCTGGAACAGGGAACAGAAGAAGTGAACCCACTTGGACCGTAGGTGGGTTGGCAGCGGATCGTCCCATCCAAGCTTTAGGGACCACGTTTCGCGCAGGTAAATCTTTCCCAGCAGAGTGTAGGGGCACACAAGTCCAAGAGGATCAAAGATCATCATAACCTGCGACAGAACAATTCTTCTTGTCAACACAAGTGGTAGGCCTTTTGGCAAATCAGCTTTCTTGAGGTTTGGGCCTGTGTGTGTTCCTTTCTTCTTCTTGCTGAAGTTGAGAGTGACTTCGAACACCATGGTATCTTCCACTGGATTCCAGCCAAGGCCCAATACCCTCAGGTTGCTATCAGTTCCTTTCAACATGTTTGGGTGCGTGCGTACAGTACCATCAGGTGCAACAAGTGTGTCAACGTTGTCAGACAACATTTCGCCGGTGCGAGGACTTGATTCTCCAGTAAACTGCCAACACTTGACTGCAAAGCCTCCCTTCGCAAGCATGTCTTCTGTTTCACGAGCAATTTTCAATGCTTCAGGTGTACTTGGTTGAGAGTCAATTAAATCATCTACATAGCTGGATCTCTTCAGGAGGTTGGCAGCCTTTGGACTGTCAGTTTCAAACATATCTGCAGTCTTGTACACAGCTTCAGTGCTAATAGCCGGGGCTGGAGTGTCGCCCATATTGACTCGTGTCATCATATACACATCGGGTTCTTGGTCAATTTTCAAATCACGCCACAGGAACCGATGACAATGTTGCTCCAAGGGCTTCAAGTGGATAGAGTGGAACATTTTACGAATGTCTCCCACAAGAGCAACCTGCTCCTCCCTCCAGCGCAGCAATATGCCAATTAGATTGTTCATGTAACAGTCCGGTCCCTTAGCTAAACAGGAATTAAGAGACATTCCTTGGCACACTTGACTGGAATTAAATACGATTCGCACAGGTGTGGAGTGTGACCGTGTGTTGACCACTGCCAGGTGGGAGATGTAAAACTTAGGACCACTCCATTCTTGCAGTTCTTTCTGAGACAACTTCCGTGCAACACCTCGTTCCACCATGTCCTCCATCTGCTTCTGGTAAGTTTCAGCCCACCGCTCGTCCTTGCTGAGTGTTCGCTCGGTACTCTTGAGAGTAGCCAAGGCGCTACTGTAGTTATTGGGTAAAGTTCCTGGATCCACAAGCCAAGGATAGCTAGTTACCCAACACTGTTTAACACCGTCATACTCAAGGTTCTCTTGAATCAATTTTAACTCCTGTTCCTCTTTGAACGAATAGGTGTGGCCAACAGTTGGACACTTGCCACAACGACAACTACCACAGCGTGGAGTTATTTCAGTTCCAATTTCTTCACCACAAATGAAGTTTTCTATAAGGCGTCCCTGATTTTTACCCGCGAGGGGTTCTGCAACATTCGTCTGTCTGAGACTAGCATACTTTTTGCTGACTTTGACCAGCTCTCCAGGGTTGGAACAATTTGGCTGAAACTCGGGGTGAGTGACATGGCATACATGGTAAGCCTCATGCTTGATCACTGAGTTGTGAATCGTTTTCACAAGATTTGAATCGTGCTCAGTTCCTTCTCTCAGATCAGGATGGGTACCTTGAAGACAGACTCCAAAGTCTCCTTTCATGATGCTTAAATTATCTCCACACTTCGCCTCCTCACACTTGGGGAACAACCCAAAGTAGTCGCAGCCCAGGAGAATGTCTACTTTGTCAGTCTTCCTCTGTAGAGAGTCAACATCATAGCCAGGGAACAAATTGGCTAAGACTTTAGTGTCCAGCTTGCTGACAGGACCAGTAATTCTATCCATACCAAATGCAGTGATACTGACTTTCTTGCCAGTGTCCGTTCTCAAGGTGAACTGATACTGTCGGGTGTTGTAAGTCTTCTCAACATCTCCCATCGTGGTTACGTCAAGCGTGAATCTGTTCAGTTTTTTGGCCTTGATTCTATCTGCTGCTTGGTGGGTTATGTAGGTTGTGTTTGAGCCACCATCACAGAATATGGTAACATTCTTCCCACTCTCACACACCTTTGCCTGCTGGATGGGATAGAGAGCAAGGCCAGCTCCTCTTGTAGCATGACTTGCTGATTCAGCATGAGCACAATGGTCAGTTTGTCGATCTTCTTCCTTTCGAGGTGCTGATAGAGTCTGATCTTGACCAGTAGTGTTTGAACCTTCTTTCTTTTTTCCTGACTTGCACAGGAGAAAGTGGTGCTTCTCACTTCCACACAATGAACATGGTTTTTTGCTGGGACACTTCTGCTGTGGGTGATCTCCAAAGCAGACAAAACAGGCATTCACTTGTTTGAGGAGTTCAAACTTGCCACCCTCTCCACTGATGGGGAGCTTCTGAAATTCTTTACAATCACTTGTTTTGTGCTTAACCGTATTTCTCTTGTGGAAAACACACTGGTAAAACTGTTTTTGGCCCTGACCAGTTCCTGTTCCATGATGTGTCAGCCCTTTACCACGATCACCATTCCTCGGTACTTCAAGTGTTCTTCTCCGCCTTGGTTGGTATTCAGCTAACCGAGCTACTGCTTCTCTTTCCCTTTCCAAGAACTTCATAAAGGATTTGAAAGGCTGAATTCTCTCTGTTTGGCTCATATCATGATATTTGCGAATCCACTCCAATCTCAGATGGTTAGGCAAAAGTCCATTGACAAAATCAACGTCCCTCATAGTGAGAGAGTTCAACTGATTCAACTCTTCAAGCTGGCTGTAGGATGACTCCACAACGTCAACAAATTCAACAAGACCTCTGTAATCGGTTTCTGAGACTGGCTTGAGCTTATGTAAATCCTCTAGTGCTGCTTGAACAGTGGCACTGGTATCATCATAGTAATCTTCCAACTTCTTCCACATTATATCATAAGCCTCTGGTTTGGTGACATACACTGACTTGATCCTTTGACTAGCTTCACCTTTCACTGACCTCTTGAGTTCGTGAGCTAAGGCTGTTTTGTTTTTGATTGCACCTTCTGCCAACTGCTTCCAGACTGTTTTAAACTCTGGCCAAGCTTTTCTCTGGCCAGAAAAGGTGGGAAGTGACATTTTCTTGAGGTGAACACCTGGTGTGTCTGCAGAGCTGTTTCCACTGCTTTGAGCTGGCATACCATGACTACTAAGCTGATACGGAGACACATTCATTAACTGTCCAGGATAACCATGTCCTCCTGCTGACTGTTGAACAAATGAGTGTGGCAACCAATACTGCTGGGCCGGGGGACTACTGAAACTAGCGGAACTAATGGGATCAAACCCCATCAAATCATTTGCTTGGCTACCATAGCTCTGAGCTGGCATAGCATAACTGACTGACTGTTGTGGTAAAACACTTGACAAATGTCCAGTGTATACATGTGTCACTGTGGGCTGTTGAGTAGACAACACAGGTAATGGGTGCTGAGGTGTTGGTGCCACACTGTAACCTGCAGGGGTAATAGATCCAGTGCCAAAATGAAAATTGTTGGCTTGGGCACTACTTGCTGATAATGTTACATTCTGTGTCTGTGAGGATGCAGTGACCACACTAGTGACTGATAGATCTGGGTTAACATTGTTTCCTGACTGAGAAGTTCCTTGTACTGGTAATGTAACACTTTGTTCTGATGGATGTGTAGGGGGGTCAGCAGGTGTGGGAACTGAACCCAGCTGAACCACATTTGACGTCTTGGGGGCCTTTGCCTGCATAAAAGCATTTCTGGCCACCGTGTATGCTTCTTTGACATTTGCCCGGTACGCAATAATGTCTAACCCATTAACAACTCGATGATCAGCATGTTCTTCTTCTGAAACCAGGGTTTCATATTCCTCATCTATCACGCAAAAATCATCGTATACTTTCTCTAGTTCAACCATTAAGGCAGTCAAAACATCAACATCTGCCTTTCTTTCAATTGCACCAGTTAATCTTCGCGAAGCTTTGGTCACTTGTACTTTGGCTTTAGTTCTTTCTTGTTTCTTCTCCTCTACAACACTCATGATTGAAAATTACATTCAATCTTAGCTGATAACTTAAAACAAAGAAGTCCACACTCACCGATGGCTGACAACTTGGCGCGAACAAAATTCGAGGTTACTGAGTTCGAAGACAACTTGAAAACACACGTTCAATCTCCCGGTTGGCTGGCAACTTGAAGCGAACAAGATTCGAAGACAACTTGAAAACACACGTTCAATCTCCCGGTTGGCTGGTAACTTGAAGCGAACAAGATTCGAAGACAACTTGAAACACACACGTTCAATCTCCCGGTTGTCTGGCAACTTGAAGCGAACAAGATTCGAAGACAACTTGAAAACACACTTTCAATCCCCTGGTTGGCTGGCAACTCGGAGCGAACAAAATTCGAAGACAATTTGAAAACACACTTTCAATCTCCTGGTTGGCTGGCAACTCGAAGACTTACTACAACAACGTTTTACTGTAACGGCATCGATCCACACACAACAGACGTTTCAACTCCATTTTATTCGTAGAGAACTAGTAGGTAAAACCTGGGTGACAAAATTACAAAATGTGTCTTGTAATGATACGAAGTGAACAACATTGAAAATACAGGTAGCAAGAGAAATTAAACTTCACATTGTTCATACATACGTTGTTGTTCGTTCTCTGCCGTTCTGAACATCGACACCGTCCTTTGTAAACTAAGATAAACCTGAACGAAAATCTCGGACGAAAACACAGACGCCAAAACGCGACGCCATCTTACAAAAGCACATGGTCCTTTCATCCGCGCAAGGGACGATGGGTGTGAATAGCGAAAACCGCTGGCTCAAAACAGTACTGAAGGTTCAACAACTTTGAATCGCAGCGAATTAATTACCGTCCGGAAATACAGCAAGATAAACATAAAAGTTCCTAACACACCGGGAGGGTGGGGGTCGCTGCGATACAACTTGTAACATTGAACAAATCACAAAATGTCTCCAGATAAACGTTTATATTCAATATCCTTAATGCCATTTGCATTCTTGACTTCGGCTTCAGACTTTAATCCACTGGAACAAGTAGGGCAAGGCGCTGAACTGCCCTTGAAACCACAGTGTCTCTTGCACCCCGGTACTCGTGAACTTTTTCCCCAGTGCGATAGCTCTTGTACTTGACTGTCACCTTGCGCACTTTGCCATCTTCCCCTGGAAAAACATCTTGCACAAGCGCCAAGCGATAATCTCCCCTAAGAGTGTTCTTGTCAGCGACAATCACCACATCTCCTGGACACAAGTTGCGAGTGGCAGTGTGCCATTTGCGCTGTACTACTAATGCTGGAGCATACAGCTCAGTCCAACGTTTCCAGAAGTCCTCCACCACAGACTGAACAAGATGGTAACGTGTTACAATGCTTGCGTCGTAAGGTTGCCATCCTAAGGGGTTAGATGCAGTCGCCCGTCCAAGCAACAAACTGTTGGGTGTGAGAACATTGATGGTTGAATCCACGCTTGGTTTCACTCCAATCGGACGCTCATTTAGTAAGTTGGACACTTCACAACAGACAGTGAGAAATTCAGGTACAGACAGACGTTGGTCACTCACTGAGAAATGAATAGCACGTTTGGCGGCCTTTATCAGAGACTCCACTGCTCCTTGATGCCAGGGACTATCGGCAGGTCCAAATACCCAGGTTGAACCATTCTGAGCAGAATCTCTCTGTAAGGACTCCCTGTCGATTCTTTGCCAGGCTTCTTTGAGTTCCCTCTCTGCGCCCACAAGCTGAGAACCTGGATCGCTGTAAATCTTCTCTGGCCATCCACGAAGACTGGCAAATCTGCTAAGCGCCATCAGGAAATTGCTGGTGTCGTATCCAAACACTGCCTCGATATGAACAGCTCTCATTGCGAGATCGGTGAACAATACACCATATGCTTTGCCACTTGTGCGTTTCTGGACTTCCCCTCTAACTGTGTACGGTCCAAACAGGTCAAGCATCACGTGGTTGAATGCTGGTGCGGGTTCCAGTCTAGCTTCTGGCAGTAACCCCATCGGTTGCTCAAGAAATTTGGCATCGCGCAACTTGCACAGTTGACAGTCCATTTTCACTAGCCTTGCCAGTTTACTGCCTTGAGGCGTCCAGTAACGCATTCGAAATCGAGCAAGGGTTGCGTCACGTCCCCTATGTCCTCCTGCTTGATGCGCACGTTCCATGAAAAGACATGTAGCTGGATGCTTAGAGGGTAACAATCTCTGAAGGGATGAGTCTGGTGTCATCGCATTGTACCTTAGTAGTCGTTCTCCTACGACCCATATTCCACTTGCATCTTGTACAGGCTTCAGCTTAGCATAGCGACCTCCATGACCTTTCTTGCTGCTGCTCTTCTTTAGCTCGCATTCCATTGTTTTCTGAATGTTCTTCACGACAAAGTCCTCTGCGTCTTTCAAGTGCTGTGCGGTTACTTGCATGGCATTTCCTGCACGGAAAGTCTTGTTCCTTGCAATGTTTTTCAACCTTGCCACGACCCAAATGACTCGATTGATGTTTCTAAATCTCTCATAGACAATCAAAGGAGGATCTGCCCTGGCTACCGCCGTACTACACATCTTCTTCTCTCCAGGGAGCACTTCTTCCTTCTGCAGACCAGACTTGAGTCCCCACTCTTCAACAGGCTTGTACAGGATAGGTGGGCCATTCCACCAGTGGGAGTCTTGATCGAGCTCCTCAGGGGTGCGTCCACGGGTCAACCAATCTGCGGGGTTGTGATAACCTGACATCCAGGCCCAACGGGACATATCACCATTCGTTGCGGCTTGAATTTCTCCAATTCTAACTCCTTCATACACCTTGAAGCGAGTACTGGTCTTGTTGATCATACTCAAAACAGTTTCAGAGTCCACAATTTGCCACACCTCTTCAAATTCGAGCCTCATCTCCTTTTCTATGACCTTTCTACCTCGCTTGGACAATACAGCAGCATTTAACTCCATCTGAGGAGTAGACAACTTATTCACTGGGGCGATACGACACTTTGCCATGATAAGTCGACACCAATAGTCCCCGCTGTTTAGGCGCCATCTGATGTAGGCTGCAAAACCATAGGCGAGGTCACTACCATCACTGAAGATGATAAGCCATGGTCGGCCAACAGAGTCGGGTGGTCGTAAACAACGATTCAAACTAAGCTGCTCGAGCTGGAACAGGGAACAGAAGAAGTGAACCCACTTGGACCGTAGGTGGGTTGGCAGCGGATCGTCCCATCCAAGCTTTAGGGACCACGTTTCGCGCAGGTAAATCTTTCCCAGCAGAGTGTAGGGGCACACAAGTCCAAGAGGATCAAAGATCATCATAACCTGCGACAGAACAATTCTTCTTGTCAACACAAGTGGTAGGCCTTTTGGCAAATCAGCTTTCTTGAGGTTTGGGCCTGTGTGTGTTCCTTTCTTCTTCTTGCTGAAGTTGAGAGTGACTTCGAACACCATGGTATCTTCCACTGGATTCCAGCCAAGGCCCAATACCCTCAGGTTGCTATCAGTTCCTTTCAACATGTTTGGGTGCGTGCGTACAGTACCATCAGGTGCAACAAGTGTGTCAACGTTGTCAGACAACATTTCGCCGGTGCGAGGACTTGATTCTCCAGTAAACTGCCAACACTTGACTGCAAAGCCTCCCTTCGCAAGCATGTCTTCTGTTTCACGAGCAATTTTCAATGCTTCAGGTGTACTTGGTTGAGAGTCAATTAAATCATCTACATAGCTGGATCTCTTCAGGAGGTTGGCAGCCTTTGGACTGTCAGTTTCAAACATATCTGCAGTCTTGTACACAGCTTCAGTGCTAATAGCCGGGGCTGGAGTGTCGCCCATATTGACTCGTGTCATCATATACACATCGGGTTCTTGGTCAATTTTCAAATCACGCCACAGGAACCGATGACAATGTTGCTCCAAGGGCTTCAAGTGGATAGAGTGGAACATTTTACGAATGTCTCCCACAAGAGCAACCTGCTCCTCCCTCCAGCGCAGCAATATGCCAATTAGATTGTTCATGTAACAGTCCGGTCCCTTAGCTAAACAGGAATTAAGAGACATTCCTTGGCACACTTGACTGGAATTAAATACGATTCGCACAGGTGTGGAGTGTGACCGTGTGTTGACCACTGCCAGGTGGGAGATGTAAAACTTAGGACCACTCCATTCTTGCAGTTCTTTCTGAGACAACTTCCGTGCAACACCTCGTTCCACCATGTCCTCCATCTGCTTCTGGTAAGTTTCAGCCCACCGCTCGTCCTTGCTGAGTGTTCGCTCGGTACTCTTGAGAGTAGCCAAGGCGCTACTGTAGTTATTGGGTAAAGTTCCTGGATCCACAAGCCAAGGATAGCTAGTTACCCAACACTGTTTAACACCGTCATACTCAAGGTTCTCTTGAATCAATTTTAACTCCTGTTCCTCTTTGAACGAATAGGTGTGGCCAACAGTTGGACACTTGCCACAACGACAACTACCACAGCGTGGAGTTATTTCAGTTCCAATTTCTTCACCACAAATGAAGTTTTCTATAAGGCGTCCCTGATTTTTACCCGCGAGGGGTTCTGCAACATTCGTCTGTCTGAGACTAGCATACTTTTTGCTGACTTTGACCAGCTCTCCAGGGTTGGAACAATTTGGCTGAAACTCGGGGTGAGTGACATGGCATACATGGTAAGCCTCATGCTTGATCACTGAGTTGTGAATCGTTTTCACAAGATTTGAATCGTGCTCAGTTCCTTCTCTCAGATCAGGATGGGTACCTTGAAGACAGACTCCAAAGTCTCCTTTCATGATGCTTAAATTATCTCCACACTTCGCCTCCTCACACTTGGGGAACAACCCAAAGTAGTCGCAGCCCAGGAGAATGTCTACTTTGTCAGTCTTCCTCTGTAGAGAGTCAACATCATAGCCAGGGAACAAATTGGCTAAGACTTTAGTGTCCAGCTTGCTGACAGGACCAGTAATTCTATCCATACCAAATGCAGTGATACTGACTTTCTTGCCAGTGTCCGTTCTCAAGGTGAACTGATACTGTCGGGTGTTGTAAGT